TTGCACATTAAAATTCAGAAGCCATCTCTCGGACCGAATCTGCAGTTTGCAAAGATTATTTTACAGAGCTCCTCTGTTGCTCGGATGCTTAATGACATGCCAGAGCTTAACGTCATCGACAAACATGATTTTACCGCAGTCCAATTCTTGAAGGCTGTCACGGAGAATGAAGAAGAAAGGACCGAGAACGGAGCCTTGAGGAACACCAATAACCACGTCCACCCAGCCCGATTTATCTTCCCCGATGTAAACGCGTTGTTTTCGACTGACCAAACATTTCCTGATCCAGTCCAGAATTTTCCCTTCGATGCCAAAGACGCTCAGTTTATGTAAAAGGCATTGATGGGGCACACTGTCAAAGGCTTTAGAGAAATTGATGTACACTAGGTTCACTTTGAAGCCCTCTTCTAAGGCACTTCTCCGGACTTCAAGTGAAGTCAGCAAATTTGCAAGGCAGGAGCGCTTTCGCCGATAGTCGTGCGGGAAATTTTGTATGATCTCATTTTCATCGTAAAATCTAGGAATGGCCCGCTTGACAGGGAATTCCATCATTTTGCAGGAAAGGGAAGCCAAGCTTATTGGCCTAAAGCTGTTTGCAGCCATCTTGCTACCTCTCTTATATAAGGGTACGATATTGGCCGTCTTCCACTGCAATGGAAAGTCCCCAGTTCTCATGGAAAAGCGATGAAAGACACATCGGTAGTTCTTTGAGCATCTGTCCTGGGATCCCATCCGGCCCAGGAGACTTGTCTGATTTGATGTGATTGAGGATTTGTCTTACGTCTGTGACAGAAAGGGTAACAATTCAACTAACGGCTGTACCTTCGCCCACTACTACTCTCGGACTGTCATCGTGGGATTCCATCGTAAATGCTGATCTGAAAAAATCGGACGGTAAATTTACTTTCCGTGTCCCTAAGTTGATACGTTCCCGAGGTTATCCCTTAGAATTTCAATGTCATCCCGGTGCTTAATTCAGCTCCAGCGGTGAACTATTGGCGCGGTGCTTCCTTCGAATGTAGCAGTGAACTATTGACGCTATTACTGGTCTACTTGCTTTCACCGAAATTTAAAATATGAAAATATTAAGTGCTTTTATTTGTTACGTTTCAAGTGAATGCCATACTCGACAAATCGAATATAATAAATTGGTTCTTCCAAAACCTTTCTGTGGAAGACAATAGCCATGCTCTAAACCGAATAGAAAGAGTATTTACTGTAGTGTCTAAGTAGTGTTTGTGCCTAGAGCACTACAATCATAAGTTGTAGGTAAAAATGGCAGGAGGCACCTGTGAGAAGAATTTAATGTATGCAGCACTCACAGTTGCTGTCTCAGATGGCAGTGGCCACTGGCGAAGCCAGGGCTACTGTTGACTGCGTCCA